CCTCCTCCTCCTCCTCCTCCTCCTCCTCCTCCTCCTCTTTGTCCCTCTCTTTGTCCTCCTCCTCCTCTTGCTTGGGCAGAGGGTTGGACTAGATGACCCTTCCAACCAGCAAGGTCCCTTCCAACTCTGTTAATCTGTTAATGCATCTTCTGTTAATCCTCCTCCTCCTCCTTCTTCCTCTTCATCCTCCTCCTCTCCTTCTGAACTTCTGGCTGTACCTTTGTCTCAGGACACTCAGAGAGAGAATATAAATAGTCCTCAACTTACAATCATTCAAAGTTACACTACCACTGAAAAAAGTGACATATGACCCAGAGGTGAGTTCCTACTGGACCGGACCAGTTCAGCCGAACCGGTAGTGGTTTGCCAGCCTGGGTCACTGGAACCAGCAGCGACCCAGGCCTGCCACACCTCTGAATCAGTTCCCCAGCCGGCGCAGCATGTGTTTTTTTCATTTCTAATGTTCTGCGCACGGGCAGACCTATTTATGGGCATCTGCACACACGCGCGGAGAGCAAAATTGCTCTTGCATTGAATCAGCAGTAATGCCGGCAACACCCCACCCCTTTTATGACCAGTCCTCACACTCACAATCATTACAACCATTGCTCACATGATCAGAGTTTGTGGACTTGGTAACCAGGTGTCCACTCCCAACGTTGTCATAGTGAGAGAAAGGGGGGGGGGGCAGTGCATTCCACGCATACTGTTGACTGAAGTCGGATCTCAGATTACTGCAGCTGGCATGGAAGAATTCATAGGGGAATGTGATTTATGACACAGACTGAGGAGTGGGGAGGAAAGTTCAGCCATAAATCAAATAAAGCTTAGATTTGACAGCGAAAAGATCTTGCCTCTAATGGTCCTAATAAATGACTAGTTTTTATTGAAACTTGGCTCGAGACTCATGAATCAATTAGGGCATTTTTAGGAAACCTTACACCAAGATGTGTTTATTACAGTCTTGGCGCCCCGGGGTCATGTAATCACTTCTGACAAACAGATTCAACGGGGGGAAGCCAGGTTTGCTTAACAACCATGCGATTCACTTAACAACCGTGGCAAAAAACAAAGCTCATAATGTCAGATGAAAGCCACTTAACAACCATCTTGCTTAGCCATGGAAATTCTGGTCCCTATTGCACTGTGCATTTTTTGTACCATTAAAAAATACATTTTAAAAGGAATCTCTATGAGCATTTTTAATCAGGGAGCTGAGAATCTGACTTCCTTCCTTTTCTTCTAAGAGTCTCTTCTAGCACAGAATGTGGAAATAAAATTTGTTTCAACCTTTCTTTTCTTTTTTCTTCTCCTTTCTCTCCTTCCCGCGACGTGAAAGGTTCCAGGAACGAGTCCCTCAATATCAGGCTCGCTTGTTTGAATGCTCCAACCAAACCGGCCGATTCATCATCACTGAAATAGTGGATTTTGGCCAGGATGACTTGGATGAAGATGATGTCATGCTACTGGACACCTGGGAAGAGGTTAGTGTGAGGTGGATGATCCAGAGCAAGGGTCTCCAACCTTGGCAGCGTTAAGACTTGTGGACTTCAACTCCCAGAGTTTCTCAGCAAGCAAAGCTGCGCGTGGCCCTCCCGGGCTCCGTTTTGGGTCGCAACGGCCTCCTGCACCCTCTGCCAGTGAAAATGGAGCTCGGGGAGGCCATACAAGCTCTGTTTTCACTGGCAGCGGGATGCAGGAGGAAATTAACTGACTTATGTCTGGTTTTCCAACTTACGACCACTTCAGCATCCAGTTACTAACATGGTTGTTAAGTGAATCTGGATTCCCCATTGACTTTGATTGGCAGAAACAATGTTGATCACAATTCAGATGCTTGGCAATTGACTCGTCTTGCAGTTTCTAGCAGGCAAAATCAATGGGGAATCCAAATTCACTTAGCAACCATGTTACTAACTTAACAACTGCAGTGATTCTCTTAACAACGGTGGCAAGAAAGGTAGTAAAATGGGGGAAATTCACTGCAGCCCTCTGCCAGTGAAAACAGAGTTCGGAAGGGCTGCATGTGACCCTCCCAAGCTCCGTTTTCAGCCGCGTTGGCCTCCTGCAGCCACTCTGCCAGCTGTGTTGATCTCCTGCAGCCCTCTGTCAGTGAAAACGAAGTTCGGGAGGGCTGCACGTGGCCCTCCTGGGCTCCGTTTTCGGCCGCTTTGGCCTCCTGCAACCCTCTGCCAATGAAAACGGAGCTTGGGGAGACTGTGCAAGGTCTGTTTTCAGTGGCAGAGGCTGCAGGAGGCCATCGCGGCTGAAAACGGAGCCTCAATGAGTGACATTGAGCTGACCACACCTGCTCCCCCCCCCCACGGTCAAACACAACTCTGATGCAGCCTTCAATGAAATTGAATTTTACACCCTTGATCTAGAACCTGCATGCCTGGCGCTTCTTATGGGGCATGCAAGCTTTTCTGTGTGAACTTTGTTTTCAAATCGAGGCTTACAAGAATGACTAACTCACAATAAACCAGCAAAGGGAAAGAAATATCTGTCTTTAGTATTCCTCCACTTACAACCATTCATTTTGCAAGTGTTCAAAGTTACAACTGTGCAGAAAAAGGTGAATTGCGATCATTTTTCACACTTGCAATGGTTGCGTATATCCTGTGTCATGGGACCAAATATTCATAAATACATGGGCCTGTATTTATGACGGTTGCAGCGTCCCTGGGTCATATGAACTTTTCTTTTTACGACCGCCTGACAAGCAAAATCAATGGGGAAGCCAGATTCATTTAACAACTGGGTTACTAATTTAAAAATTGCAGGGATTAGCTTAACAACTGTGGCAAGAAAGGTCGTTAAATGGTGCTGAACTCACTTAACAACTGTCTTGCTTAGCAAAGGAAATTTTGGACTCGTGCGTGGAGGAATCCCTCTGCTCCAAGCATTAACAAGGATCAAATACAATTGTCTTCCAGATAGAAGTCTTGACCAACTTACCTTTGCTATCGGTTCGTAAATGTGAGCACGCATGCGCAGAGCGTCAAAAACTGGACGTGATGATGTCTAGGCGGGTGGGCGGAGTCTCCCACTGCTACCGCTACTGGTTCACCCAAACCGGATAGAACCAGCTGACTTCCACCACTGGCTTTAACCATGTATCTTATATATACAAAGTACTTAGCAATAGCAATAGCAATAGCAGTTAGACTTATATACCGCTTCATAGGGCTTTCAGCCCTCTCTAAGCAGTTTACAGAGTCAGCATATAGCCCCCAACAACAATCCAGGTTCTCATTTCACCCACCTCGGAAGGATGGAAGGCTGAGTCAACCTTGAGCCGGTGAGATTTGAATTGCTGAACTGCAGATAGCAGTCAGCTGTAATGGCCTGCAGTATTGCACTCTAACCACTGCGCCACCTCGGCTCATATACTTAATTTTCTTACAACTGTTCAGAGTGTCACATACATGTTGTTTTAGACTTACAACCGTAATCGAGCTGGAATTGTAGCGATAAGTCATGGCAGTCATTAAGCAGGTCACCTCACAGCATCACTGATCACAAATGGACTTTCTTAACATCTGCCACGTTTGCTCATCGTTTTTTTTTGCAAACAGAGCCACTGTTAAGTAAAGTCCATTATATCCAATAGGCAATTTTGCTGAAAACTGGAAGTTTTAAATTGCTTTCACATGACAAAGGTTATTGCAAACCGCCAAAAATTTGGGCCAGTTGCCAAATACCGCAAATTCCAATCCCGTGACCAGAAGGGCCATCAAACTTCAAAAACCAATCAGTTGCTCTGACTTTGAAAAGTTGTTAAGCAATCGGCTGTAAGTTGAGGACTATCTATATTATAACATCTGGCAGTTTTGAGATAAATTGGCCTACATTATATCCTGGCTGAGGAATTCTGGGAGTTGAAGTCCACATGTCTCAAAAGTTGCCAAAATTGCCAAACACCAATCCACAATAGAGGTAGTCCTCAACGTACGACCGCAGCTGAGCCCAAAATTTCTGTTGCTAAGTGAGACAATTGTTGAGTGAATTTCACTCCATTTTACGACTTTTCTTGCCACAGTTGTTAAGTGAATCACTGCATTTGATAAGTTAGTAATACGGTTGTTAAGTGAATCTTGCTTCCCCATGGATTTTGCTTGTCAGAGAGTCACAAAGAGGGATCACATGATCCTGGGGGGGGGGGGGACACTGCAATCGTCATAACTATGAACCAGTCACCAAGCATCGGAATTTTGATTACATGACTGTGGGGAAGGATGCTGCAAAGGTTGTAACTGTGGAAAACCATTGTAAGACACTTTTTCCAATGCTGCTGTAACTTTGAAAGGTCACTAAACGAACTGTTGTAAGTCAAGGATTAGCATACCTGTATTGGAGTTTATCTAACTGTTAGTGTCCTGTCATCACCACTAGGTGGTGCTAACACATGTTAGGCATAACGTGTGTTAGCACCACCTAGTGGCGATCACAGGACACTCTTTTTTCCCAGCCTCAAATGAAAGGGCATCAAGAATGAAAATATCTCTATCCAGCCAGCTCTTTCCCTTCCAATTAGCTTCCTCTTTCCTCTTCTTCAGATTTTCCTTTGGATTGGGAAAGCTGCCAACAGCTACGAAAAGACGGAGTCCATTTCTGCAGCCAGAGAATATTTGAAGAACCACCCAGCAGGGAGGGATGTAGCAACCCCAATCATCATGGTCAAACAAGGTCACGAGCCCCTGAACTTTACCGGTTGGTTCACTGCCTGGGACCCTTACAAGTGGAGTGTAAGTAAAGAATGATACACTGTTCTCATCCCAAAACAAGCTTGTGGTCACCTGAACGTTGAGTAAAAATTGCTCATTACTTTTCTGGTGTCTTTTTTTTTTTAAACTTATTTTTATTTTTAAACAAACAAAAACATAAAACACCTACAACCTTCTTTCACTTCATATAGCGTGTCGTTTGTTTACAAGATTTTTTGCGTCCTTTTCCATGGTCACCACTTACAATTGTGTATCAAATCACAAATTGTTCATTAGATAAACATAAGTACGTTATTGTTATATGTCAATTTTTCGACTGTAATTATTATTCCTTAATTTTAAACAAAATATTCTAAATATTGAATTCATACATACATCATTTTGCATCAATAGTTCCACTCCAATTATTATTCCTACATTTTAAGCAAAATATTCTATATATTGAAATCATGCATACATCATTCCATTACATCGTAATCTGTTTAACAGTGCTAAACCCTTGTAGTATTGCATATATCATTCTATTATTCTTTTTTTTTCTCGTGATAATTTTTTTTATTTTAAACACATAAGCACATCAACAAAAACAAACACATAACTTAAAAACAACGTAGGAACAACAAGTTCCATC